TGATGGAGGTTGATGGGGGTTCATGGGGTGATGGAGGTTGATGGGGGTTCATGGGGTGATGGAGGTTGATGGGGGTTCATGGGGTGATGGAGGTTGATGGGGGTTCATGGGGTGATGGAGGTTGATGGGGGTTCATGGGGTGATGGAGGTTGATGGGGGTTCATGGGGTGATGGAGGTTGATGGGGGTTCATGGGGTGATGGAGGTTGATGGGGGTTCATGGGGTGATGGAGGTTGATGGGGGTTCATGGGGTGATGGAGGTTGATGGGGGTTCATGGGGTGATGGAGGTTGATGGGGGTTCATGGGGTGATGGAGGTTGATGGGGGTTCATGGGGTGATGGAGGTTGATGGGGGTTCATGGGGTGATGGAGGTTGATGGGGGTTCATGGGGTGATGGAGGTTGATGGGGGTTCATGGGGTGATGGAGGTTGATGGGGGTTCATGGGGTGATGGAGGTTGATGGGGGTTCATGGGGTGATGGAGGTTGATGGGGGTTCATGGGGTGATGGAGGTTGATGGGGGTTCATGGGGTGATGGAGGTTGATGGGGGTTCATGGGGTGATGGAGGTTGATGGGGGTTCATGGGGTGATGGAGGTTGATGGGGGTTCATGGGGTGATGGAGGTTGATGGGGGTTCATGGGGTGATGGAGGTTGATGGGGGTTCATGGGGTGATGGGGGTTTTGCTGGGACGTAATTCAGAAGCAGAACTTTCAGAAATTGTCTTTTCTTGTTCCGCCTGTAGAACGGCGTCTGCGTGAGTCGGTGTCCCCGAGGGTTCCGGATCTCTCACTTGGCCCGGATCCAGCTCTCTGAACACAACCGATTGTTCCCACCGATGCGTTCCGCTAATCCGACAATTCGCTGATTTCATAATTAAATAACGTCTGTAATTGGTGATGAATCACAGCGTCCTCGCCACCTACAGGTCAGCTGACATCCCCTGGGGGGGGGCGGGGTCCAATCTTCGGTACTCTCCTCCAATCAGTGAAAATAAAACTCTTATCTAATTTTTATTTGTTGCTCTTCCAACCTTGTGGTTAACGGAGAACTATGAGGGGGGAGGGGGAGTGCTTTTCACTCACCTCATAGTTCTAGCCGACCTGTGACAATGCGACTGTCACAGGTCGGCTCAGTAGATCGGGAGGTGAGAGAACACATACCGGCGTTCGCTCACCTCTCGATCCTGTCACGGCTCTCTGCCGTGACAGGGGAGGGGCTGGATTCCCCCCACAACGCTCCGATCCGCCAGCGCTGACTGGCGGAATGGAAGGGGGCGGGTACAGCTGGCTCTGCCTCTAGATAGGCAGAGCCCGCCGTCCCTCACGCAGCTGGGCGGATCTCGACATCGATGTCGGGATCCGCTCCAGGTGCGGCGTCTCAGTATACCGCGAGCTGTAGCTCCCTATATACTGAGCCTAGGGTGACGGGAGGACGCTGGTTTGTGTCCTCCCGTTACCTAAGGAGAACTATGGTGAAAAGCCTTAACCCCGTAGTTCTCCTTTAATGTGCTTTTCTGGTCCACCATGACTGTCCCCTGTGTACAAAGCCAGCTCCGTACAGACACGGTGTGACCAGATTGGTGCAGAGGAACTCGGGAACCCTGACCTCAACCCTACTGGGAGAATTGGAATGCCAACTTCAAACCAGGCCTTCTCATCCAACAATGAATGGGCACAAATTCCCACGGACACCCTCCAAAATCTCGGGGAAAGCATTCTCAGAAGAGTGCCGGATGTTAGAGCCACAAAGGGGGTCAATTCCAACTTCAAAGTCAGCTCCAGTGTCAATGGGCGTGGTTTTGGAATGGGACGCCCAATAGGCTCATAGAGGTGTGGCGGTCAGGTGTCCACAATATGGCCTCCAGTGACGTAACAATTTTGAGTACTTTAAAAACGTTGTTTGCTATTCAAATGCAATGGAATGGTCTGGAATGGTGAACGCATCATGTGACCTGCTTTGCCTGCAATTTAAACACTCCTCACTAGGACATGCTGCGTTCACAGAAATGCAAAGCAGGTCACATGCATCCTCTGAACCGCCATGCGTATAGTTCAAATAAGGTCA